ACACTTTTCTTTTACAATTTTCTTTAAATTTAAATTATTGATTTTAAAAACTTGTTTTAGTTAATAAAAAAAAAATTAATATCAATAATGGCCGGACGGTTACACCCATTAACCACATCATTTACCCCTTTCACAATTCTATGTTCTTTTGGTTCTTCTCCAATATTCAAGAAATAACCATTACAAAATTCAATCGATGCAAAGCTAAATGCTAAAGACAATGGAATACGAAGACAGACAGGAACTGAATCAATGAATCATTGAAAATAACATCTTTTCTCCTTTGAAAAAACAAGAATAAGTTAGTTTTCGTAAAAGAAGAGTAAGTTAGCTTTTGATTATTCTGAATTTCGTTGAGGTTTTTATGTATGATTGACGCCACATCTTTGACAGGCACAAGAAGAACATGAGGATGGATGGTCTAATTCATATTTACTTTTTATCAATTCTTTATTTGAATTCATTTTGGCAGAGTTTTATAACCAATGAAAGCTGACTTGAAAGAAGTTTAACATCTATCCATCCGAGTTCATTAACGCTAATGGTGTAACTGGTGAGTTGTTGTTTTTACTTTACAAATCCCTTATTCACTATTACAATTTTGTTTATTTATTGGATCTCTGCATCTACCAGTTGCATATTCTATTTAGATTTTATAATGAAACCATAGACTTGGTTAATTTCATTTCAACAATGATATTTGTTAAATCATAAGATAAACACTATCAACTCAAGTAAACAATAAAAATCAAAATAAAAACTGTTAATACTATACAAGCGTTTTTTTTGGGTTAACGTGTTTAATTTAAAAAATACTAGATTTTGACCCGCGCTAGAAAAGCGCAGAAATTTTTTATGATTAAAAATTTATATAATTGGGTTTTGTCTTAATTTAAAGAATGTTTTGGTATAAAATTAGTTTACCAAAATTTGTGGTGATAGTTGTTTTTCATTAGTTTTTAGTTTCAGTTTTTATTTTTAGATTTTTTGTTTTAAATTTTGGTTTTTGGTTTTTGGTTTTTAGTTTTTAAGTTTCTATTTGATTTTCAGCTTTTGGTTTGGCTTTTTAATTTTTAGACCCGCTGAATCAGTTTGAACTGATATTACCAACAAACAAATCTCAATTAATCGAACATGTAATTTAAAACTGAAAAGATGACAAAATAATTTTCAAAAAAAATTGAAATAGTTTATTTTGTGAATAAAAAAAGAAAAAAATATAACATGCGTTTTTAGCTTTTGATGATAGAGTGAATTAACATTAAAATGAAAAAATGAAAAAAAATAAACAAATTTTTAGAACATTCCATATTTGTAAATTTTTAATGTATTTTTTTCAGCTTTAATTAATCATAGCTTTTAATGCGTTTTCAGCTTTTGTTTATTTTGTTTTTTAGTAATATACAAATTTTTCAGATTTAAGAAAAATAAAACAATAAATTATTTAAAAGTTGCCATTAAAATTTATCAAGATAGAGTGATTGTTATTTAAAATAAAAAATATTAACATGTTTTAAAGTATATGATTTAAAATTAACATGTTTTAAAGTACATGATTTAAATAAGTGATTAATAATATATAATTTTTTTTCTTGAACATAATAAATATTTTTGGGCTGAAAAATATTAACATGTTTTAAAGTACATGATTTAAATAATTGATTAATAATAGATAATTTTGTTTTGTTGAAAATATTAAATATTTTTGGGCCTGAAAATAGTAATTGATTTTTGATCCATTAGGGTGGAAAGTTTATTTAATATTTTTTGGAGTTTTTCTTTAATATTAAGCCCAAAAACCAAACTATTAAATGTCATAAAAACAAAAGTAAGCCCAAAATTCCATTCCATAAATAACCGCCGGTTTAATTTAAATAATGCGGTTCAATCAACTATATAATTTTTATTATTTATAACATTCTAGTAAGGGTCCAAATTTAAATTACAATTTGTATCAGTAGATAAAAAATGACTCTATTTTAATAGAATAGATTTTTATTTATTTTCTATAAATTTCTAACATAGAAAATTTTGTAAAATATGTGCACACTTTATGTATATTTCTACTACTCATATACGTTTACTTTTTGTATTAATATTTTCTATATATATATATATATATATATTGTGCACCTGGATAGCAAAAACCATAATACTAGTAATTAATAATTCGCTGGATGTCCAATTTTCCTACATTTCATATATACAACGTGCTTTAATATAATAACAATAATATATTATTAGTGGTGCACCGGTGCTATGCGCCGAATTTCTATTGTAAAATCTATTTTTTAACGTAAGTATGTATGTGTTTCTTACACCAATTTGCAGTATAAAATCTAAAGAAAAGATGAAATGACATATCAAAAACTTATAGTGATAAACCTGATGGTTAATCAATAAAAGAAAGTGATAAATTTATAGAGCATCATATTATGTATGAACTGAAGAGGGCATGGGAGACGAAAGAACTGTAAATGTACAATATCACTTTCTAATAACTCTTTTGAGTTTGTGAACATCCACAAATAATTAAAACACTTGACGTGTCATGCCAAAATCAACTTTTGAATTATTCGATGTGCAAACTGCAAGATCTCATGTCTCTGGCAAACTACAAACAGTGATGAGCGACTTTGGACGCCACTGGTATTGGATAAGTACGATGGCTTCACCATCATTTTTCACATGTGCCTTCACTGTGGTTAATGGGTCAATCACTTTCTGACTATATTCAGCTTATACTCGGTTAAGGTTGGATGCAGCCGTATGACCAACAAACCTTAAAGAAGTAGGGTCTAAACTGAGAAAGCAAACCTAGATAGTGGCTGCTAGAATCTTTCATGTAGCCTTCTTGGATTAGTTTACAAACTGATGTCGTCTGGTTGGATTCACCATCCAACATGTTGTGAAGCTTTATAATGATCAGTGGTTACATATTACATCTATTGGTACAAAGCTTAACAAAAAAAAAGTGAATCAATAATGCACTTTAGCACAATCTTTATATATCTATCCTTTTTGCTTGTGTATTAAACCTAATAAGAAGCCAAAGTCTCACGCTTTCATGTACATGTAATCTTAAGGAGTTGTAGCTCTTCCCTTTTTTGGAGCAACTTTAGTACTTTACCATCATATCAATTTTTCACAAACTTGAATTTGTTTCATGGTGTATATTTAGGGTTTAGTTAATGGTGAAGATAAATAAAAAAAACAAAGAGAATTAAAATTAAATCAGTAGAAAATGATTAATTATATACCTTGTTTCCTTTTTTGATGTATGCATCCTATCCTGTTCTAGAAAGAACACGGCTTTTGTCCAGCTGGTCCATGATTTCTGAAAATTAGGAAGTGATCAGTTAAAGAAGAAAGATAGATTCTCAAATTGTATATTTCATCTTACATGCTTCAAGGGTCTTTTTTGTGAGTAACTTTCAGTAAAACTTGATTTATCTACAGTCAGTGAAATAATAAATAGAGTGGCTTAAAACAGTATGAAATTTAATATGCAAGAACTTGGTTATGTTTTCAAAGGGTTAAAAGAAGAAGAAGAACACATTATTACTGAGATATCTGGGAAGTTTGAAAGAATATATGTGAGCTTTAGAGTTTTGAATTTGTGGAAGCTGATCCAGTCCATAACGCTTCTTAACTGCTGGTGAGTCTCAACCGAATCCTTTGTGTGGAGATATTTATAGTATGAGTTTTTTCCTGGTTACTCTAGGGAATGGATAAACTCAATTGAATGCTTAAAAGTGGGGAGATTGGATTAATGCGATCTCGAGGCGTTACAGAGAAGCGACGGTCTGACTTTGGTCTCTATAGTTTAGGTCGGATTTGGACGAATGCGCAGCAAAGAAGACGATTCACTGCACCTCTTAACAAAACATATTAAACACTGTGTAGAAGACCAAACCTGTTTAAACTTTTTTACAAATCTATACTATATTAAAAGCTGATAACGAAGCACTTTTAGGATGTCCACGTCTGCATTTTTAATCTACCAATCAGGAGATTACGCTGCGCCACGTCAGTTTTACTTAGTCAGTTTTAAAAAATCTTGGCCTCCTGCGTATGGGCTCAGAAGTATATTGAGGTCCAATTTAAGATATCTTCAGAAAGTCTAACAATTTCAATATCATCGATTGTCGCTTCCTTTTTTTTCTTAACAACAAAGTTCGATCGTCTCTTCCTAACGCTGTCTTTTCCGTTTCCTTTACCAAAAAAAAAAAAGAAACAGAGTACAAGAGAGACAGAGAGGTTACTCACGGAAGAAGACGACAATGGAGGTCAGAGGTTGTGTTTGACATTTTTTGAAACGCAAAAAGGTTTGCAGAGTTCGTATCTTTAACCTTTACGGGTACAGTTCAATCTGTGTTTTGTGATTCCATAGATCGATTTCAAAGTGTTTAACTTGATTGTTTCAGAATAATCTGATTTTTAAATTCTTATATTGAAGAACCGGATACGAAAGACATCAATTCTTACGGTTCAATAGGCCAGTCCGGTAAAGAGAGAACCGAGCAAGACCAGACTAAGCTAAGTAGTATTCACATCAAGAACAAACTCAATAGATGGAGACGAAGTAGAAGGTTTATAAGGCGAGTTCTCTGAAGGATGAGTCTTTTGCGAGCGTCGGAGAGGTTTGGTGCGTATATTTTAAAGGCACACTACCTGTTTTGCAGACAGTTAGGTCTATGTTAAAATGTCTTACAAGCATAGGTTTTGATGTAATAGACGCTTTTTGTATTTCTAGCGAACACTAAAACGATAAAGTAGCCAGTACATATATTAATAATCTTAGCTTATATTTGTTTTTGTCCACAGTGGTTCGGATTTTTGCAGATCCGGATTTGGGCCAGGGACAATCATAATATGTGATCAGGTACTTGCTTTCTCAACCGTGGCGAGATCTTAAATTAGATTATTTGCATATCACTCTAATCATAACTACTGTTACTTATATTTACATTGCAGTGTGGAAAGGAGTACCACATTGGATGTCTGAGTATCATAACATTGTGGATTTAAAGGTGGACAACATATAGCTCTATCCCCAGCTTATAGTCTTTTCCGTTTGTGCACATATTAGATCTTTCAGATTTTCAGCTAACACGGGATGATATGATTTTCTGACAGGAATTACTGAAAGGAAATTGGTTTTGCTCTATGGACTGTACGAGGATCAACTCCACATTGCAGAAGTTACTCCTTGGTGAGGCGGAGAATCTTTCAGATTCTTCTTTGGAAATAATACGCATGAAGCAAGGAAGAACTGATGTTGATTCCGTCAGTCATCTTGACATCAGATGGAGACTGATCAGCGGCAGAGTTACTTCTCCTGAAAGCCGGATGTTGCTGTCTCAGGCATTGGCTATTTTTCATGTAAGCGGTTTTGCAGTTCAAAATCTATAACTTTATATCATAGCGATTATTTTGTTCTGTTCTGATAACTGGTACTGTAACACAGAGAGCTGAAAAACTATGGGGCAGGGTAACTAGAAAAATGCAGAGTATACTACACGATAGGACAAGGAAGATTGCATAGGTCTACGTTATCCTTTAGTATTCGTAAAAAAAAACTCAAATAAATATATAGTTTCATCTTGATTTGGTTAGTATAAACGAATATCTCTCATGGAAAAATTGTTTTAACTTCTAAATACCGAAGCTTATTGCTTTACCTTATATTCCTTTGTCTCTTTCATGGAATCATCATTTGACTAGCGTTCTTTTAGTATAGCTCCTTAATACTTTATCATGTTTAATGCGTTTTTGCAGGATTGCTTTGATCCTGTAGTTGATAAAAACCAGAGGCGAAAGAGTCAAAGGCAGGAGGTTATCTTGATCCAGCAAAATAATTAAAAAAAAACGTTATATGGGGCTATAGCCATGGCTCCAGCTATTACTCTTTTTCCATGGGGGCTTTTGACGAGCAAGAAGGTATAAAGCTATGTCAGATTGGTAACTAATCTTTTTAAATTTCACTTTCTAAACTTGGTGTAGTTCATTGTGCTAGGCTTTCTTTCTCTGCGTTTCCGTTTCTTTGGTCCTATAAATAGAGATGCAGACGTAAACAAGTCTCATCGCTAAATCCATTTCTTTCCGTAATTAACCTTCCAGCCGGAGGTTACTACACAATGGCGAATTCCCATCAACTTTTTTCTGAGCTAAAATCTGTTCGTTGTAAGCAACCATCACTTCAATCAACTATACGCTTCACCGAGCTTACCCAAGTTTGTCAATCTGTCGGAGTCCGAGTCCGTTCATCCAATTCCCAGGAAGGTGTTTTGGTCCCAAAGTTATGAGCAACATATGGCACTGGCCAGCACAAACACAGAGTTTCCAGGTCTGTGTTTTTAGTTAGCCGATTTCTGTATTTCCTAAATCAGTTATAATTCCATTCTACCAACGTTCCGTCCCTACTTCTGACTAATTATGAGCTACGTGTTGTTCATGTTCGTGGACCAGGCGATTTGATTAACGGCTGCAGACGCAACAAGTGAATTGATAACATGTTCTTATCGAAATGCTTTGTAAAACTGAAATTGTTGTCGGAATTCAGAAACTACAAGTTTCAATGCAGATTGATTTGATTATCCGTTTGGTATTTGGTAATAAGATTATGTTCTGGCATCTTTTAGTTTGGGTGAATGTAGCTTTGAGAAGAGAAGCAGCACTAAGGTAAAGACTACCAAAGGTAGCTAAGGACAATGCAACCATAAGCCCTTGCGGATGAGCTTTATCAGAGAATCATGTTTGCTTTCCGCCGAAAGTTGGAAATCCCGAGTTATTGGCATGTACCAGAGAGCCAATGCAATGCACATGAAATGGTAAGAGATCCTGTTGAGATTCGTTTGCGAAGATACATTGTATAATTCTATCTTTTGAATGCTAGCAAGTAACAGCTTACCATGAGATTGATGAATTGACTATTAGAACTTCAGGATTTAAGAGTAAAGCAAGCAGACAAAGTTCTATTATTGTCAAATTCTATACTTGACATTTAATTTTCTCTCTTTGCAGATCGTAGTAGAAATCAAAAACAAACACGTTGGAGGAGCCTTCTCCATGAAAACGAAAAGGTAGTTTTTAAACTGAACATTATCATCAACTCTTTCTTCTCCCATTGGTCATTTATTGTCTGAGTTCCTTCCTAATCACTTCATAGGCTCACTTTCTGGGTTTCATTTTCTCCGGTCTCATGTTTTCAAACAGAAGAGTTTAGATCAAAAACTTCTCACTCCCGTTTGAAGTTTGCTGGTGAGCTGAATCCAATTAAACAAACTGATGCAGGAGAATAACACTTGACCCTTAATGTTTCTTAATAACCTTCTCTTTGAAACAGATCCAGAGCAACTGTTTACCACATAGGAAAGCATACGCGATTGTATTATTTAGGAAGGCTATCAAGGTAGAAGGAGAATGTTGCATTCTTTATTAGGCATGATCTGTAAAGCAGCATTCATTGTTTCCACAAAACTATCAAGAATACTGTTGTTCTACGGCACATTTTCTCTCTGTGGGAGTCGTAGGTCATGTTAGTAATAAACATTTGGCGTTTAAACTTTCAGACATGATGGTTGCTAGATAGATCTCTTCTGATGTAAGCCACTTTGGCTTTCTCCGTTTGCAATCTGGTGAGTCAACATCTGATCTGATCGTGTTATTTCAAACATGGAAGTATGTAGATTGGGATCCAACCATCAATTAGAAGACTTTTCCCTGGATTACTCCAGCAGTTAAATAATATCTGATATTATAATATGAAAAATTATGTTCGGGGTGCTGACTTCTTCTTTATCAGCTATTGATTCGCTTCATTTCTTTGTTTATGAAAAGTATATGTATGGACAAGAAAATTAAATAGTTAATCAGAATACAAAGAACATAAGGCAATATGTAAAACGGTTTTTCATTTCTCATGATTATGACCAGGAGGTTGGGAGAGAAGTTTCTCTTTGATGTGGCCTTTTAAGAAATCTGTATTTCTATTTTGTGCTGATATCCACATTAACGCAAAGCCTTCAACATATATATTCTGTTATTTTTTTCCTACAAGTTTCGTATTGTTAAAATTACGTTTCTGTAAGGGACAGTTCATGATAAACCATATAGTGAAAAGATCTTTAGATATGATTTTGGGAATTTCTTTCAGTGAGAATAGCAAACTATGCTTTAGAACTGTTGATCGCTTCTGCTTGAACACGTGATATAGATCAGTAGTTCATTGATTTTTTTTTTTTTTTGAATAGTGAAAAATATGATAGATCAAAATGAAATTAATTGATTTTATCTTTTTGAGAATATTCGTTCATTCATTGCAGGAAAAGTAAAGTATGGGGCTTAAGTAAATAATCAAAACAAATATCTTATTTGATAAAAACAAGAAAATATTTATAAGAACGAGAAAAATAAAATCCTTTTATATTTTTTTTTTTTGACATTTCATTAAAACCGACCAATGGAAATAAAAACAAAAAAAGTATCATGGATATTCTTTTCCTTTTTGTGGTTACCTATCTCAATCTTAAAATTTTTCACATAAATATTGTTAAAAAAAACATAACAGTGATTATTACACAATCAAATCATAACTTTTTTGAAAGAGTAATAAAAACTAATAGATATAAGAGTTAAATTCGAACGATATGGTGAGATATGTTTGGGACCTGGATTTGCCATCGATTTTTATAGTCGTAAAATATCTTCGGTTATCGATTGCTTCTGTCAGTAATGAGTCTTTATGACGCTAAAAAATGGGACATCGACATTAGGGAGAATCAGAACAGGCTGCAACAGCTGGGTTATGGAGATGGGAGCGAGGAAAATGAAGAGTGTGTGGGTATGAAGGAAATGGTTCATGGCTTCCTGCTTATGGAGTTCTGTGAGCAACACAGAGGAGCAAGTTTTTGGCAAAATATTAGAAAAACTGGTATTCATCTACTCAAAGAACAAGTTTCTATTTCAATAAGAATATCGTTAATATCGATCAGAGCTTCATAAAATTTTAAAGATAAAGTCAAATACCACCATCAACTCAAGCCAGATGGTTTAACAAATACAATAACTGCAACTTAATTTCTTTTATCAACTTATATGTTCTTTACATTTTACATCATGCATGAATATTATTCATTACTCGACAGATCTTTCAAGTAAACTATCCGCGCGTAGCGCGGAAAAAGGATCTAGTTTCTATAGAAACCCAAAATTCATTAAAAAAAATCAACGAATAAGAATATGACAAGTTTATTAATTCCTCCCCATGAAATGAAAAAGCCAACTTTATTATTAAAGATCTTTTCAAGCAAACGGAAAATCTAAAGGTAATAGACAATTAAATTAATAATAGTTACCTACCAAAAGTAACTCGTGGCTCTTCGAGATCCACATCCTTTCAAAGTATTTTTTTTTATTAAATTTGTAATCGATGATTTTTTTAGTCACAAAGTTGATCTATCGTATCACCACCGTCTTAATATCCAGAATATATCTATTCTATTAAAACAGAGTCATTCTTTTTATCTACTGATACAAGTTGTCATTTAATTTTGGACCATTTCTAGAGTGTTACAAATAATACAAATTATATAATTGACTGAACCGCATTACTTAAATTAAACCGGCGGTTATTTATGGAATAGAGTTTTGGGCTTACTTTTGTTTTTATGACATTTAATTGTTTGGTTTTTGGGCTTACTATTAAAGAAAAAATCCAAAAAACATTAAATAAACTTTCCACCTTAATAGATCAAAAATCAGTTACTAGTTTCAGGTTCAAAAATATTTAATATATTCAACAAAACAAAATTATCAATTATTAATCACTTATTTAAATCATGTACTTTAAAACATGTTAATATTTTTAGCCCAAAAATATTAATATTTTCAACAAAACAAAATTATATATTATTAACCACTTATTTAAATCATATACTTTTAAACATGTTAATATTTTTGTTATTTTAAATAACAATCACTCTATCTTGATAAATTTTAACGGTAACTTTTAAATAATTTATTGTTTTATTTTTCTTAAATAATTTACAGATTTAAAAAAAAAATTTATTTTTTATTTACAAAGTAAACTATTTCAAAATTTTTAGAAAATTATTTTGTCATCTTTTTTAGTTTTAAATTACATGTTCGATTAATTGAGACTAGTTTGTTGGTAATATCAGTTCAAACTAACTCAGCGGGTCTAAAAATTAAAAACCCAAACCAAAAGCTGAAAATCAAAAATAGAAACTTAAAAACTAAAAACCAAAAACCAAAATTTAAAACAAAATCTAAAAATAAAAACTGAAACTAAAAACTAATGAAAAACAACTATCACCACAAATTTTGGTAAACTAATTTTATACCAAAACATTCTTTAAATTAAGACAAAACCCAATTATATAAATTTTTAATCATAAAAAATTTCCGCGCTTTTCAAGCCCGGGTCAAAATCTAATTTGAGTTAAAGAAGATCATTGCAAAGCAGGCCATCTTCTCCGTTTCTGAAATCGACAGCGGTGACGCCACTGCTACAATCAAGGCGGCAAGGAGCATCAACCCGTGCCGATTCAATTTCACAACATCAATTCCCGGAAGATCCTTCCACCTCCTGTAAGTTCTGGTTATCCGCTTTGTTTCTCTGCACCTCAAGTAATTTTATTTTCAATTTGTATTATTCGGGGAACTGTTTCAATATATTTGAGAAATATGAGAAGTCTTTGCTGTTATATGTCAGATTAGCTTCTTGTAAACACAATAAATGGATGGATTTACGGTTCTAGTTTTCCACTGGTCTGTTTTAGTACATTGTATAAAGTTTCCCAATATGCGTGGTTGTTGGTTGGTACTTCTCGTGTTATAGGTTTAGTATACTACTTCACAAGTACTTAGTATGAAAATGTACATTACGACGGAGTAGATATATTTATAAATATAAAATATTAAAACAAAAAATAAACGTATATGAGTAGTAGAAATATACATAAAGCATGCACATTTTTTACAAAATCGTGTATGTTAGAAATTTATAGCAAATAAACAAATTTTTTTTTTTTTGAAATTAAACACATTAGCAAAAAAAAAAAACGTTCCTATAGTACTAACTGTTCTTATTTTGATTTTCATTGTTTACTTGAGCTGATAGTTTTTATCTTACGAATTTTTATAACAATTATCAATGTTTAAATATAATTAACCAAGTCAGGTTTCATTATAAAATCTAAATAGAATATACAACATATTTATGCAGAGATCCACTAAATAAATAAAAATGTAATCGTGAATAAGGGATTTGTAAAGTAAAAACAACAACTCACCGAGTTACACCATTAGCTTTCATGAACTCGGATGGTTAGATGTTAAACTTCTTTCAAATCAGCTTTCGTTGGTCATAAAACTCTGTCAAAATGAATTCAAATAAAGAACTGATAATTCAAGCTTTCCCTAGCTCATTCTCATCAATGGACTCCTAACCATCCTCGTGTTCTTCTTTTCGTACACCTGTCAAAGATGTGGCGTCAATCATACATAAGAACCTCAACGACACTCAGAATAATCAAAAGCTAACTTACTCTTCTTTTACAAAAACTAACTTACTCTTGTTTTTTCAAAGAGAAATGATGTTATTTTCAATTATTCTTTGATTCAGTTTCTTTCAGTCTTCGTTTTCTATTGTCTTTAGCATTTAGCTTTGCATCGATTGAGTTTTAGTAGTTATTTCTTGAATATTGGAGAAGAACCAAAAGAACATTGTGAAAGGGGTAAATGATGTGATTAGTGGCTTCGTGTGTAACCGGCCGGCCATTATTGATATTAATTTTCTTGTTATCAAATAAAACATTTTTAAAAAATTAATAATTAAATCTTTTTAAAAATTGTAAAAGATACGTGTCATTCACAGAATTGTCAATTGACTTCTGTTTTATAATGTAAATAGTATAACTTGTTATAACTTATATGAAATAGACTATGGATAAACTATTATGTATAACATAGAATGGACTCCTCCGTTCTGCATAAATAGAGTGTCCTTAGGCACATAAGTGATATATGATAGAATACACACCATTGATCTGCATAAAATAGAATATACAGTTTTACTATTCGTTATATGTGACAATTCATTTCTATACTTACCTAACTCGTTTTCCTTTTCAGTTTGCCAGTTTGTCATGGACAAGTTAGGCCTTTCAAGTATATTGTTTGAAACTGGATTTGAACGCGCTGGTCGGAAATGGGTTTATAACTAGGTCTTATTTGCAAACTAACCAGATTTGGAGTAAAAATTGATTAAATGTTAGTAATTTTGATATAATGTATAATATAGCATTTATGCCACACTTCATCTGGTTTTACCCCCTTCCAGTTACTCGGTCAATGTGTTGGTGAGTGGATGACGTAACCGAATGGATTTATAGTCAAGAGCGACTCAAGAATTTTCCATATGAAAGGATGAGGAGCCCCCTACGTTAGAGAAAAAGTTACCACATAGATATTGTCAATGTGCAGCTAAGGAAGTGGTTTGAATTAGAAACACGTTGCGATAAATTGTGTATTCCATTTACGAACCGCTATAAATTTATCTGCACATAACAACACAGTAAAAAAGGTGAATAAAGGGAATGATTAAATGCTGAGCTGCGATGAGCTAGTAATTACTCAATATTCTGAATCTAATAAAAGTTGTTACATATGAATATGTTGTTACATATGAATATGTTTCTTTAGTGATAGAATAACTATATAAGAATATAATTGATTAAATATATATGAGATATAACTAAATATATTTTTCCTTCTTACTGAAGATGACACTCCAAAATAAAGTGTTACTGGAAGTTGGTATGTTGGTCCGTGATCTAGATAAACGATGGATTTTCAAACCAAGCATATGTTCCAAAATCAAAAATTACAGTTGACCTTCATAGACTTAGTTACGACAGTGAGATAACAACTCCAACTGACGTCAAAAGAAGTGACACTACAACTATCATATCAATACCCGGAGTGGCTCTCAGTTGATGATGTAGAGCGTAATATGCCTCTGCACATAACCGACACAGAAGTTGGGAATTTTATCCAAATGAGGTGATTAATTGAGGAGGTTCATTTATTTGTCTTAATAGTCCGACACACAAACGGCTTGCATAAAGTTGGCCCACAACGGAGGTGCACCCTTATATGCCTGCAAGGGAAGGTGATAGAGCTGAAGGTGCCATATTATATGCTGAAGGGCGTGAGTATGCACATTCTGAGATCCCACTGACCGTGCCGCAGACGAACCAGAAAGCACTGAGGAATGATTATGAAGTTTTCGAATGTTCTATTCTACGCCGCCGAAATAGTATATAAATACTTGGTTGCAAATATATTCCATATGAACCAGGTGAATATAGATTTGGAAACCGGAGCATACTATTCGTCTATCCATTCCTATTGTTGGAGCGACGGGTAAGGAGAAGAACAAAATTCCAGCTGAGGGTCAACAAAAACTGACTCCGATGATAATATAGTTGTACCTGTCTTACAAACAATTGTTGCAGTCCCCAGAATTGTAATAGGAAAATATGAAGGTGTTTAGTCTTTGACATCCATAGCATACCTGATACTGATTGGCAAGTTGATAACATCCCCCCAAGCTATGAAGACGTGGAGGAGATACCCATTTATGACGGACTACATTGGGAAAGATTTGATCAAGCACTCCATGATATGCTTAACAACCCAAATCATGCTTTATTTGGCAGGGATGCACACCTTGTATTCAATGATCGATATGGATCAGGTCAGGAAAATATCGTTGCTCTGCAAAAGATAGAATATCACATTGGTAACATGTAGTTTATTATATGACATGTAATATAACTTTCCTTCACCGGGTTTTACTTTGTAGTTGTCGACTCTGCCCTAACTGACGTACATTATGAAGGGATGAGATAATTGTGGGTGAGTCTTCAAGTCTAAAACAGATTGCAAAGAACATGAAAATCCATTCAAGATAACTTGATTTAGTCTAGCGTTACTAGTCGTCAAATACGTAGGCCAGTCATGTCCACAGTGTGTGTATGCATTGCTGTTAGATGAGACATGGAACTTCCAAGTCTAACAAGCAAACCTAAGTCACACATGCACAATTTGACGAGCGGACGAACTTCTACAAATTGGATACATCACAAGTGATAGGCGAGATTCTTTAATTCCACTTTGTAACCACTAAAACGGGACCAAATGCGTCATCAATCATGAAAGTATTCCTAGATTAATTTCATGTCAATGTCTCATACGAGAAAATGTGGAGGGCTTGAGAACTTACAATGGAACACACTGTGAGAAAAATTATTGGAAACTATACACTTCTTCTTGCATATTTGGGACTCCTTCAAGCTTCCAATAGCGGGACACTTTGTTATTTTGAGAACACTGATGAACCTAAACTCCAATTGGGAGAAATGGACCACGAACAAGAGGATCGAGAGCTGGAACTCCTTCGCGAACTGGAACGTGCTGAGTATGGATCACAGACTAGAACTTTGCTGAGAACGGGTCGCGGATTGAGACTTGCTGAGATCGGATCGCGAATTTGAACTTGATGAGATCGGGAACTCCTTGAACACGGGATGAAGGTTCTCGATCAGGATGAACAAATTTAGATCGGCGGTCAAATTAGGGTTAGGGTTATGGCTAGGGTTTTTGCGTCTAGGGTTCTCCCGGAGAGAGAGATTAGGGTTTGAGTCGGAACTTTTGGTTCAGGGATTTAGGGCCTTATCTTGCTGATAACGTGTGGTGAAAATATGGGGGGAATGGTTGTGTTTATTTCATTAACATAAGGTTCCCTTATATAGGGAATTACAAGATTCTAAAAAAGGAAAAATCTAAACCAACTAGGAAAAGAAAATAGTACAAATCCTACTACAACAAGGAATAAGAAAACACCAAATCATAATCCAATAAGGATTAGGAAAATACTAGCCGACCTAGAACCTTAATGAGCCGGTTCGGTACGGTTCCGGTTTTGGTTCCGGTTCAGGTTTCGATTATGGCAATCCACAATATGGTTTATACCAAAAGTGAGTATATGGGTTAATTAATCTTTGTACGAGATTTGTTTTTTACATACATTAAAAATATAATATGTTAATTATAGGCGTGAGATTCTGCAGCCATGGGCTTATACTCAAGAACTGGTCTTGTCCCAATTCGAATCCTTGTTTAGGCAACTGCAGCTCTGGTAGTGGTAAGACTCCACACGGCAGCTTCAGTGATGAATAAGATTCCTTTCTCTCTGCTTCTCTCTGTTTCTCTTTGTTCGTTGAGTTTTCATTATGCCCTTGAAGCATTAAGATGTGGTTTGCTTCTTTCATGGCTACTGGTTGAGGAAACGGGAACGAACTCATCGTCAAGTCTTTCTCGTTTCCAGCAAAAGAATTGTTCTCGGAAGACGTGAGAGGAGAGCTTGGACGTGTTTGCTTCATCTTAACTTCCTTCTCTGCTCTTTGCTCCAATACTTTAAGAGAAGTGGCTTTTCTATATATCTTACAAAGCACAACGTTCTGCGATTAAAAGACAAGACAAGATGAGAAACAAAGTTGTTTCTTGGTCGCATCACTGATTAAGAAGAGAGCTTAAAGGTACCTTTGGTAAGGTGAGGTTGTCAGGCATCCGGAACTCGTTCATGACCCAATCAGTCTTGGTCCCTCCTGGTGCTCTTCCTGTGTAGAACACAAGGGTCTTCTTGAGCCCAATCATACGTTTTGGCTCAGACAAGCTTATGATCTTACGATCAGACCCAGTTGCTTTCCAGTATCCTTTCTCAGTTATCCTGCTTGGTCTCCCTCCGTCCCCTTGCTTCCTTTCCCTTGGCACAAAGAAGTACCATTCCCTCTCCCCTATTGTCGCTAAACCTGTGATCAAAGTTCAAGCTTCACTAACACAATTATAGAGAAAAGGAGTTATAATAGAATTGAAGAAAGATACTACATACGAGGCAAGTCCCATGGATCATGACGATAGATGTTGAGAAAACCAATGGCTTCTACTTTTGTTTTTTGCCCGTGAACCATGTTCTTGAGGTAGAAATCAAGAAGCTCTTCCTCAGTTGGATGGAATCTGAAACCTGGCAGCTGAATCTCTTTCGACATGTCTCTCACTGTCCCTAAAACCACTTACCAGTTTTTGGTTATCTTATAAGCTGTGTAAGTGCAAAGGTAGTTGGTGGTGATATCACTTAGTTTATACAACGCTCACTTATATACAACACTTGGACCCAAGGTGTTAAGAGATAAGAAAAAATTGTGTGATGAGGCAGTGTTTTGAGGGAGCAGACCAAGTCAAAAGAAAGATGTAGAGGCATATTATGTAACATACTAACATTCTATTGTGTAACTATTCTGAATACTATTGGAGGGTTGCGATCTTTACTAGGAAAGAGGGGTCTTGATCAACGTTTATGAGCCCACGCGTTTTTATCTTAGAAGGGGTCTTGTGGATTTGGCCAAGAAAAGTAATAAAAAATATAGCTATTTTAAATGTCAATAACACTAAAATATAACATCCCCTATATATTATTTAAAAGTAATTTATCACATATCATTTCAACAATTTTTTTTACAAAAAAGAAAGAAGATATAGCTAATAAGATTGATGACATGGTTTATCGTTAAATATGACAAGGACAATTTTATTTATTCTTAATATATATTTTTGATAAACTTTATAAAATATGATAATAATAATTGATACATTACATTTAATGTTGATTTATATTTTTAGTAAACTTCTTAAAATATAATAATAACTCATAAAACAAATCATCAATAAAAATAAATAAACTAAAATTTGTATTATAAATTTTGAAATGTTATTTAATTTTACTTTTATAATTATACAATTATTTTCAAAACATTTTACATCTTTTTTGAAAAACTAATAAATTTTTAATCTTATAATTAGTTTTTCTAGATATCGACAAATTTTATGAATATTATTTAGTTATAATTTTTAATAACTATACAGTTTTTATACGAATTTTCTTAGTAATTTTATACAAGTTGATTTAATACATTTAACCAAAATAAATACAGAAAAAAATTCTAAGATTCAAATTTTAAATATATTACATATATATTATTAAATATAATTTAAAATAAACAATTTTTCTTTTTAATTTTATGTTTAATTAAATCAAATTTATATTAAATATTCCTCAAAAACTATTCTCACAATGTATTTGGAAAGTAAGACATTTCAACAAATCATCCATAACCTTTCATTGTAAAAAACAAAAACCTTACTAAATTATTAATATGTAACCAATTTTTTATTCAAAAAAGTTCAAATTTGAGGTAAAAATTTACCAAATTTTATCAAATGATTTTCAAATAATATTATGGAAATATTTATATATATATCGAAAATTAAATATTATTACTCATTAAAGAATAAAAATTATCTACAAAGATCGTAGAATACCAAAACAGTTGAAAGAATTTATTGTAAGATTGAGAGAAAACAAAAGGCTATAAAAAAGAGTATGGTGATCCAAAACAAGAACATCATGACAAGCCGTCATCCATTCATGTAACCGATCGGAAACTTAATTTTGTTGGCTGGTGAGATATGTTCTTCGATTTCGAATCTCACACACACATATATATATATATATATATATATATATCTACTCTATTAAAATAGAGTCATTCTTTTTATCAACTGATATAAGTTGTCATTTAAATTTGGACATATTCTAGAGTGTTACAAATAATACAAGTCATATAATTGATTGAACAACATTACTTAAATTAAATCGGTAGTTATTTATGAAATAGAGTTTTGGGCTTACTTTTTTTTTTATGACAAATTAGTTTGGGTTTTGGGCTTAGTATTAAAAAAAAACTCCCAAAAACATTGATTAAATATTCTACCTTAATGGATCAAAAAATCAATTACTATTTTAAAGCCCAAAAGTATTTAATATTTTAACAAAACAAATTATATATTATTAATCACTTATTTAAATCATGTACATTAAAACATGTTAATATTTTTTTTTTTATTTTAAATAACAATCACTCTGTCTTGATAAATTTCAATGGTAACTTTTATAATAGTTTTTTTTTATTTTTCTTAAATAATTTACTGATTTAAAAAAAAAAAATGTAAAGCAAAACTAAAAACCAAATCTAAAAATTAAAATCCAAAACCAAAAGATGAAAACGCATGTTTTATTTTTGCTTGTATTTTGTTTATTTACACAAAATAACTATTGCATTTTTGAAATAAAAATTCTCATCTTTCAGTTTTAAATTAGATGTTCGATTCTTTGAGATTTGTTTGTTGGTAATTATGAGTTCAAACTAACTCAGCGGATCTAAAAGCTAAAAACCCAAACCAAAAGTTGAAAATCAAAACTAGAAACTTAAAAATTAAAAACCAAAAACCAAAATCTAAAACCAAATCTAAAATCAAAAACTGAAACTAAAAACTAATGTAAATCAATCATCACCACAAATTTTGGATTACTGATTTTATACCAAAACATACTTTAAATAAAGACAAAACTTAATTATATAAACTTTTAATCAAAAAAAATTTCCGCGCTTTTAAGCGCGGGTCAAAATCTAGTCTACTATATTAAAACAGAGTCATTCTTTTTATCTACTGATACAAGTTGTCATTTAAATTTGGACCATTTCTAGAATGTTACAAATAATATAAGTCTTATAATTGATTGAACCGTATTATTTAAATTAAACCAACACAATTAATGTAAAGAGACGACATTAATGTAAACTACCTTCAAAATATAGCAGGTATCTATGTGTATACCGAAAACACATATTTTCTCCTACAAAATTACCTATTATTAATCATTTATTTAAATCATGTACTATAAAACATATTAATATATTTTTTATTCTAAATAACAATCACTTTTTTTTGATAAATTTCAATGGTAACTTTTAAATAATTTATTATTTTATTTTTCTTAAATAATTAACAGATTAAAAAAATGTAAAGCAAAACCAAAAACCAAATATAAAAACTAAAAAATAAAAACTAAAATCCAAAACCAAAAGCTGAAAACACATGTTATATTTTTTGCTTTGTTTATTTACAAAATAAACTATATCAAATTTTTTTTTAATCTGTTGTCATCTTTTCAGTTTTGAACTAGATGTTCGATTATTTGAGATTTGTTTGTTGGTAATATTAGTTCAAACTAACTTAGCGGGTTTAAAAATTAAAAACCCAAACCAAAAACTGAGAATGAAAAGCAGAAACTTAAAAACTAAAAACCAAAAACCAAAAACCAAAATCTAAAAATAAAAACTAAAAACTAATAAAAAATAATCATCACCACAAATATTGGTGAACTGATTTTATATCAAAATATTCTTTAAATTAAGAAAAAACCCAATTATATAAATTTTTAATCATAAAAAATTTCCACGCTTTTAAGCGTGGGTCAAAATCTAGTATTCTTTATACTTGGGATTTTAGAATATCTTTATATAATTATATTGCACACTCAGTATCTATCTTTAACATCTGTAAAGCCAGCCCATGAACTCATGTGATACAATATATGTGTTAATATGGAACTTGCCACTTGTATGCTATCCTAAACAATTCTTTTTTAAAAAAAAAACTAAAGAAAAAAAAACTGACATAGGAATTTGTAAGATTTTTGTTAAATCGATTTTTCTTGCTTAAAAAATGATAACGTCAATTTTAATGATGTTAACACCATCAGTTAAACTCTAAATCCAAACTTAACCTTAAACCCTATTTAAACATTGCACTCTAAATCTTAAACCCAAATCCTATACCCTAAAACTGAAATTATCTAGACCCCTAAACCCAAATCATATTCCCTAAATCCAATCCTTATATCCTAAAACACATTTCTATATTAAGGTACAATTATTATAAGACTATATGAAGAAATAATTTTATTTTAATAAATTTTATGTTAATATATATATATATATATATATATATATATCTCATATCGTTTAAATTAAACTATACATCGTATGAAAATACATACTTATATTTTGATATTTACATTGAACATATATTAAAAAGTTAATATTTAAATTTTAAATTCTGTCCTTTTTTTAAATGATTGTAAATTATTGACACTACTAAACATCTCACATTAAGAAAAAAATTTGTTGGTGTAAATTTTTGTTACACAAATATACAAATAATAATAAAATTATATGAGTAAAAACTTCATTTAATAAATATACATATTTCATGTGTGCTATATATCTATATTAATACCATTTAAATTTAATTATATATCATATACGATAGATAAGATTGATTATTTTTATCCTAATTACGAATAAACAAGAGTGATCGTTAGATTTATATGCACATGCCAATTTATTACATAATATAATTGATTTCTTAGTTATTTAATATATATATATACTTATTTTTTTATTATTGCATAATATGCAGAAAATAGAAAATAAATAATAAATATAAAATATTTATTCTGCAAAAATGTGCAGATCTTAACCTAAGTATGTATCTCATTAATAATTTTAAATATTTTCTAAATCTCTTGCCAAAACAAACAAACAAACAAACAAACAAACTAAATGAGAATAGAAACTTCAAAATCAATATTTATATCGAGCAATAACCAAAATAAAAAAGACACAAAAAGAGAAAAATATTGAAGATAAATATGATTGAAACGTAAACGTAAACTTTTCATAACCATAATTAATTTTCAAATTACTAAATCATGATATAAAACTAAGCTAACATAGTTTCATTATAACTAAATAGACTCGAGATTTTTTGACCTAAACATTAGGTACTTTGCGGTAAGTGATATTTTGATCTAAAATATTTTTAAAAATAAGATCAGCTCTTCAGTAAAAAAATTTATGTAATTAACAAAAAAATTAAAAGAATTGTTTAAAGAACAATATTAATTCAATCAATAATATAGATTTACTTTTAAATATTTTTTATATATGCTTATCTTACGCAAGACGCAGGTCTTATCCTAGTATAAAAATATTCTAAAATCCCAAGTATACAGAATATATATATATATATCTGAGACTCAAAATCGAATCACATCTCTCACCAGCCAACAAAATCAAGTTTCCAATCGGTTACATGAATGGATGACGGCTTGTCATGATGTTCTTGTTTTTGCATCACCATACTCTGTTTTATAGCCCTTGTTTTCTCTCAATCGTACAATAAATTCTTTCAACTGTTTTGGTATTCTATGATCTTTGTAGATAATTTTTTTTAGTGTGTAATAATATTTAATTATATATATATATATATGTATATATATTTGGATAGTATTATTGAAAATCAGTTGATAAAATTTGGTAAACTTTTACCTCAAATTTGAAATTTTTAAATAAAAAAATTGGTTACATATTAATGATTTAGTAAGGTTTTTTTTTAACAACAAAAGGTTATGGATCATTTGTTGAAATGTCTAACTTTCCAAATACACTGTGAGAATGGTATCCTTTCAAGGAAAAATCTTTAAAAGAAATCATTCTTTATGAGAAACTACCATTTAATTATGTCCTAATAATATGGCATTGTTGATTTCAAAGAAACTATAATAGAAATAAAAGACAACACTTTACCTTCAACATACAGTAAAACCTCTATAAATTAATAATGTTGGGACTTTGAAATTTTATTAATTTATAGAGATATTAATTTACGAAAGTTTCCCTATTTAGATTTTTTTCTATTTTTATTTATAAAATAAAAAAATATTTGATTTATAAAATAAAAAAATATTTGATTTCAGCATATGTACATTATTTAAATTTCAGAAATTTGACTTTTATATTGTTTTATTATCTTATTTGGTGTATATTTTTATATTTTATAGAATTGTTACATGGTTCTCGATGTAATTTAACTAAATATTATCAAAATATATTGAAATGTTTAAAAACTAAAAGTATTTTTTAGAGTAAATATAAATCCCCTAATTAAATATTATCAAAATATACTGAAATGTTTAAAAAAATAAGAGTATTTTTATAGTAAATATAAAATCAACAATATAATGTTAGATTGTACTTATATAAAATTATATATAGCTAGATTATTAATTTATGATTTTAGTGGGACCATATATTTACATGGCAGATTTAAAAATATTATTATCTTATTATTTTATCGATTTGTGTCATATTTTGCACCGGCCCAAGTTGGGACCGGGGAAATTTATTAATTTATAGTTATTAATTTATCGAGTATTAATTTATAGAGATTCTACTGTATCTAAGTGCTTCGTATCATCAACAACGACTCTCTCACTTTACTTTCAACGGTCTTTCACACAGATTCTATAATTAGTTTATCTCTGATTTTCGTGTATATTTGATAAATTAAGTTACTTTATAGGTGGAAGACGAACATGTTAGATCTGAGAACCAAGTATTAACAAAGAATAAGTTCTTTCTTATGGTTGCCTTAACAACAATGTTTTCTTACCTCTACGATTCACTATAACTTGTTGCCTTTCGCAAAATTAGTTTTGTAATGTGCATTGAACACCGATGCAAATTATGTATTATGAAGATAATGTTGCACTTAATTATTGTTTTTAGAGAATGGAAGATCGATAATGGTAGTTGAGAATTTTTTCTTGATACAAGTAAGAAAGAGGATGCCTTTTTGTTGAAGATGATATCAAATATGAAGATTTTCTCTACATGGTTTGTGAAGATTATAATATTACTGAGTTAAAAAAAAAGATTCAGACAAGAAAGAAAGAAGGAAAGAAAAAATCAGAGAAGACTACTTGTGTGTTCAGATACTTGCAGAGGTAAGAATCCATGTGTCCTTTAATAAATATTCCCAAGATAAAGCTTATATTTTTATTTTATGCAAGAAATGAGGTTAGTAGAGGGGTAAGTCAGACTAGTATTTGCTAAGTAGCTGATAGACTTGATTTGATTGCTAAGCTAGAATGTGGTAGATAAAGTGTTCTGAAATTTAGACGTGTTAGATGTAGTTTTGAAATGTTGTAAGAGGTGATGATTATAAGTTCTAAAATTATATGAGCCCCTGCTGTTTTCAAACCTCTTTCAGAGAGACTGCATGTTTGTTTTGCTTGAGGACAAGTAAAAAGGTAAGTCTGGGAGAGTTGATAGGTCATGTATTTTACCTATTTTTAACCATGATCTAGATATGTTTTTGAAGTATTTCATATGCAATTGGAGTTTTTTCGAGTATTTACAGGTTCAGGTACTTGTTCAAGGAAATTTGAGTTTTTGGACAATTTTAGAGCATTGAAGAATGCTCAGCCCAAATCGTAGATAGATTATACATATCGATCGATGTAACACCTTGTGCATCGATCGACGACATTTACACCCGCGAATCTAATGATGATTTTGAGAAATTACAAGTTTTACCCAAAAATCTCTCATTTTACAAGACTAGTCCTTGGTTGAATGTTTGACTATTTATTAGACTTTTACGATTTTGTAAACCCTATGCTTTCATACTCTATTGCATCTGTGGAGCCGTCCCCTACTTTAGAGAAAGAGAGATCTTAACTTCATAACAAAGAACTTGAACTCCCTTGTTTTCTATTCTATTATTTCTTTCTATTGTTTTTTTATCTATTCAAAGTCTTATTCAGACAATTATGATTATGTTTCTCATGAATATATCTGAGTAATCTTATTGTTAGCTTTAGGTTTCTCATAAGATTGATCATTGCTGATATGAATTGTTGTTAAGAATACCTTGATTATATTCTTCATCTAGTTTGCTCTTAATGATATCTTTCGTTCACATCATGTCATTATTTGGCTCAGGTAAAAAGTTACAGATAAAACTGTTGATGATCAGAAACACAAAAAGCAAAAGAATAAAACACACACTCTTTCTTCTGGAAAACCATTATAATGTGATATCATAACATGCAATAGATATTTATGAATCAGAACAGGTTGAAGAAATCATGCACTGGGAGGCTTGTAGAGCTTCTCAACCATCTTCCTATATTCTGCACAAGAATACAAAAGAGACATAAGAAACTCATAATTCTCCGGAAGGTGATTTTGCAATCATTATCAGCATCTTTTTGTTTTTACCTTCTTGGTTGCTCCAGAGCTGAGCTGCTTGAGTGTTCAATGGTGAGCTGATGTTCGGTTCTAACCATCACAAATACAAAAAATCCACACATTCAGATATTGGACTCACCAGCAAAAGGGCTTACACAAAAGAAATCAAAGGTTATGCATAATAAAGTACCTCCCAGAAGGCTCTGAATCGACAATAGTATTGTCCTCACATCATAAGCAGACGACCATTTATCCTGCCCAATTAGATAATGTGAAAACAAATTTAAGTTTATTTTTCTGGTACTCCTCTAGATTCTATGTAGCACATAAGCACAAGTATATACTTTACCTGAAGAATGTCCAGGCAGATATTGCCATAGACATCAACATTGGGGTGGAAGCAAGTAGTCTGGAACTTGATCTTTGGAGGTTTGAAGGGATAGTCATTAGAGAAAGAGAGGGAGAGTCTGTACTCAGTTCCTTCAAAGACAGTGTCTTTGCTTCCTGTTATTGTCCCTTTCCAACAGAAGATGTTGTCTTCCTCTGGGAAAGCAGAGATTCCCGGGTCACCACCCATCTGCAAACAAACAACCCACATACATGAGCATCTTAACTACAACTGATTCAAGATTTTCTTATTAACAACAAATGAAACAAGTTAACTTACCATCAAGCCCATTAGTTCAGACTGCAACCTGCATTCAAGTAAAGAGAAATCTTGATTACGAATCTGGGTAAGATAAAAATCAAAGCTTTAAGCAGTATACGTAACATAGACACACTTCTCAAAGAAACATTCTAACGAACAGTTTGTGTGCAAAGAGAAGTCTCTCTGTACGGATCTATAAAGTACTAACCAAACCATAGGAAACAATGAATAAAAGACAAAGGCGGTTTCTTTATGTTGCAGAGAAGAAAGAAGATACCTTTTGAGAACAGATTGGCTGTCAACAGTCTTAGTCGGAGGAGCAGACTGCTTTGATCCGTTTGAAGCCGGAGGATCTGCCGCCGGAGTATTCCCTTGGTACCCATTAACGGCAGCCATCACTTTCGCTTTCGAACTGGGGACTGAGATAGAAAGTAGATGAAGGAGAAGAGAGAGAGAGAGAGAAGATAAAAGATGGTTCTTCTTTCTTCCCTTCTTCCTATGAGAGTGATTGAGAGAGATAGAGGAGGATCGATGGAAGAGTCACTTAGGTTATAAAAGGGCGTCTGGCTGGGTGAAGACGACATCGCTTTGAAAACATATCCCAACGGCTAGTTGCCTTTTTCTTTTTCTTTTTCTTTTTACAATTTTTTGTTTGTTTGTTTCTTTCCAAGAAAATAGTTAATTTTTGTTGACAAAATGGCATAAATTTTTGTTGACAAAATGGCATAATGTCTTTGTAAAAAAAAAAAAAAAGGAAAAAAATCTTTGCAGATCTTAGATATAGTTAACTGTATCATGCCAGTGATCAAGATGTACTAAATATATTTTTCTATATAATGATAAAATATATTATTTCCAAAATATTTACTACTATTGGTGTTTTGTTTTTCTAAAATTACCACATTTTAAAAATATTACAAAAACTTTAATATTTTGGGCTCATTTTTAAATAATCTTGATTAGTGGTAGGACTACAGTAGTAATCACAAATTTTAAGTTTAGTAAAGGAGTTAGAAATGTTTTTTTTGTGTGTTTTGGTTAACCTGGTTTACAGTCACCTAGTTTTAAATAGGGGCGAAGCCATTTAAGACACTATGAGGACCTGTGCACCCTAAACTTTATTTATGTTGTAATTTTAATGTAAAAAGGCATAACAATTCTGTTAGAATAGGTGGAAACGTTGTATTGTGCACCCATAACAACCCAAGTTTAAGCCTCTCTTTTAACTATTTCCATTCTATCATTAATAGTCCGCCATTGAATATACATTTTGGCTTCGCCCATGGTTTTAAACCGGGGAAAGTATGCAGTAACTCAAGTGCAAGAAACTTCAACCAGATGATGAACTTGTTAAAACGTTTACCATATCTCACATCACACTGAACAGAGAATCTCATGCTGAACCCTTTTTTGGAACAAATAAAAACTCCTCTCGTCCAGTCTTGTGCCCCCGCACTTGCAAACTCCAGCGTTACAACTTTTTTGAGAATCTCATCTTCTTCTTTCACAACTCAAATTATTTACCAACCTAAGCTGAATAATAATAAATGATCATACATGGGTGTCCTCTTTAAAGAACCTGTTTGGAACAGACTTCATGTAAGTTGTATCTTTTATTACACTATAAATCACCAAAACAAGATTTTTTTTTTTTGTCAATCATTTAAACAAGATTTGTTTACAATCTCAATTCTCAACAAAGACTTAAAGAGTATAATCTTAGACAGCACTGGTTGGACCAGGATAAGCAGGAAGAGTCATGATCCGCTTGTCTAAAACCGGACCTCCCACAGTAAAATGGTACAGACTCTGAAAGCTCGAGTCTTTAATCCCAAGAACCTCGTGAACCGGATCATCAAAATAACATCCTATTCCAGTTGCAGAGATCCCCATTGCATGTGCTTCCAAGTACAAAACTTGCCCAATAACACCCGTCTCCCAGAACAGCCGAGGGTACATCCATGACCCCTTCTCCCTCATCACTGATTCAAACCGAGCCACCATCCCAAGGCTGAAGCACCCATCCCCTGCAATGTCCTGCATCAACACCCACCACCATGATTCAACAAAGATCCAAGTTATATGCATCCAATGTTCAATAAATGGCTAGACGATTGTTAGGCCCTATAAGAAATTATTGCTTAGGCGGGTGTCTAGACCGAATTTTTGAATGCTTAGACTGATTAAAAAAAAACGTTTCTAAGAATCGTTTCCTCTAGGTCTTTTGCTGCCTCCTAGACCAATTTCTAGGACACTTTATGCATCACGACTCTATATATCCAAACTCGTTACCTGATGACATGATAATCCTTTTGCCAGCCTTTGACAATCACCCTCGGCGAGCATATACAGAGGAAGATCATCAGGACATCCATCAGGTCTCCTCCACTCAAATTCAGACCTCATAGCTCTCTTGAGATCACCTAGATGATCCCCATTCCTCACTAGAAAATACAAACCCTTGGGCAAACCCGAAACTCTATGCACAAACAGAGCAAGATGAACCTCAGCACAATCCCAAGGAAGAGCTCGAAAGGGCAGTGCAAGATGCTCTCTTTGCGGCTCTCCCTTGTTGGAACCAGAAGGAAGACAATGCATCAACATCTGGTAAAACACAGACTTGTCTATAAAAGTAACACCGTCCATATCGACTGCACTTCTTCTCATCCTCACAACTTGACTCACTGTCAACTCCTTATACAAACCCCTGCTAAACACACCACTCTCTCTAAATGAAGAAGCATCTATTGAAGAAGAAGAGTTTGAGACCAATAAAGGCTTCTTAACTGCTTCAGCTGTCTTGTAGATAATATCCCAACACAAATGCTCTTTACTCAGGCCATTAGGACTCCCTTTCCACTCAAGAGTATTGAACCCTTCTCTAATTGCAGAGCTTATTCCTTTGTAATCTATGTTAATAACATCTCTAGCTCCTCCCTTGGGGAAAACAAGAAGCAAGCAATCAGGATGCTCAGACTCAATCTCCAAGAACTTACCTTTACTGAGACCCATTAGCATCTCGAGATCATCACTTCCTAAACCATCAAGAAGCTTCAAGTCCCATCCCATCTCTCCAGCTGCAATGGAAAGAGCAGCGATAGCGTGACCCACGTCATGGTTACAGTACCTAAACGCACGTTCTCCGTACTTCCAAGCCTCACGCCAGAAGATTGAAGTGACACCGATGAGGAAAGAGTTCTCAGGGAAGAACTTGGGGAAGAAGGTAGACGGGATGTTCGCTCTAACCTCCAAAGAATGCTCCTTTGGAGCGTAGTGAGCCACGAAAGGGGAGTCGGAGAGTGAAGCGATGGGTGGAGAGATGAGGTAAGCTTCCGTGGGGTGTAAGTTACCGCTGCTGGGGTTGACGCGGAGAGGCCAGGTGGAAGAGCCGGTGGTTTTCCAGGCGGAGAGAGCGAGGGAGTGGAGGAAGAGGTGAGAGACTGTGGAGAGGGAGATGGGTTTTGGAGGAGGGAGAGAGGAGAAGAGAGAGGAGTAGAGAACAGAGTGGTGTGGGCCCTCCTCGTCGTGTTGGAGAGGGAGGAGAGGGGAAGAGAGGTATCTGCGGAAAGGGTTTGGTTGATTGGCCCAGTCGAGACCACGAGGGCCTCTTGCGTAATTGGTGAAGGAGTGTTTTGTCTGGTTGTGGTATCTGAGGGCTTGTTTGAGGTTATCTTCTTGTTCGTCTTCCTTAGTAAAGGTAGGGACTTTCGGAGACCCTGAAGATGAGGAGAAGGACATGGCGGAGATGAGGGAGATTGAGTGAGGGATAGGGAGAAGAGAGGATGAGGTGAGCCTGGATGAAATCGGATTCATAATCACTGAAACTGTCTTCTTCTTCTTACAAATTGATCTCTGTTTGATTCTTTCATATTCGACATGTTTCTGGAACTGGAAGCATATGGTTCAGTTCCATAAACCGCGATTATTGTACCGCATCTTGAACCGGTTGACACGTTTTAATTTTCTTTTAACGTTAATTCAGTTGTGTTTAATTATAAAAATTAATTATTCTATAATCAGTAATTAACTATCTATACTGACAATCTCAATGATTTTAGGTAAATTTATTTATTTACCTTATTTAAATAATTTCATGTACAATTTATTATTTAATAAAAACGAATTTATATTAATAATATTATATTTTCGAAAATATGTTAATTATTTTGTATTAACTTGTTAGCTTATAAATATATTTTCTATTATAAAATTCAAGTGAATTTACTGATTGATTTGTAACTTCTTCATGATTTTTGTAATTTTACTTATTCGTTATATTTTTAATAATCTTATGAATAATTTATCATATAATAAAACAAATTCTAATTAATAATATTATACTTTTAGAAAATAATATAATTATTATGTATTATATTGTTATCTTTAAAATATATTTTTTATCCTAGAAATTAAAAATTAAGTTAAATATTAATAGTTAAATATGAAGAAAGCAATTAAAAATTAAGTTAAATATTAATAGTTAAATATAAAGAAAGCAATTAAAACTTAAGTTAAATATTAATAGTTAAATTTAAAGAAAGCAATTCTGATTTATCAACTTCTCCATAGTTTTATATTTTGCTTATTTATCATATTTTAATAATTTCATGTATTTTATTAAATAAGAAAACGAATGTATACTAATAATACTAGATTTAAAAAAAGGGGTTTTTGCCAAAACTAACCCACAACTTGGTTTTAACCCCAATACTAGACCCCAACTTGAATCAACTGCAAATCTAACCTAAAAGGGCTATGAAATTACAATATAGTCCTCTGTGACCAAACAAAAAAACAGAAGACATTTTTACGAATATAACCCTAGTAAATTGTCTGAGTTGGGCTGAGTTACTTTTCAGTCGTCTGGACGACTGAAATGTTAGTTGTCTGGAAGATTGAATCTTAAAAATAATTTATAAATTCTGTAAAAAATATTTTCATGAGTGAAAAATTAAAAACATGTAATTATTAACATTTATAAGTGATATAAATTAAGAAATGATAAAATTGATTTGTTTTGAGCATAGATGAGTGGAAGTAGTGAATCATGATATTCTTTGGTTTAAGGGTTTGGCAAACATATGTTGTAGTATTGTATGTAATCTTAGGGTTAGATTTTGAAAAGATGAAATGTTTTTTTGAAAAAATTAATTCGACCTCTATGTGTTT